ATGAAGTAGTAGAGGAGGAAAAGGTTGAAATAAGTGAACAAAATTTAGATGAACCTAAAGAAAGAGAGATAAATATTGATGAAGAAAAATCAAAAAATTTCACAGATATTGATCTATCCGAAACTAATCCTGAAAAAACGTAAGTGCCTTTAAAAAGGGGGGGGGGGGAATTCACCTTATAAATGACACGCACTCACCATTTTTTTTTTATGATTAGGAATTCTTCCACCTTGGAGAGGCCATCAATTACAAATGATACATCTTCAATTCCGGTTATAACGCCCCGTTCAAATGTCGAAGATGTCGAAAAATCTATTAAAAGGAAGGATGAACGTTCGTCATGTTCCCCTTTAAATAAACTTGAAAGAAAAAATAAAATACTCATAATTTTATTAATAATAATTATCATAATAATCATAGTTACCGTTATCTTAGTTTAACATTTTTTAAGTAGTTGAATATTCAAATTTTCAGTGTATATAATATTAATTAATTTAATTGTCCTTGAATGACTTAAAATTTCCATAAAAATAAAATTTTGATTTTTGAATTACACACAAAAGAACGCTTTGATAAATTTTTGCGTGACGTCGCAACAAAAAAACAAAAAAAAATTTTTTGATTGGTAATTCCAAAAAAGTATTCCACCGCAAAAAATAAACATAAATGTAAATAAATATATAAAGTGAATCTCCACTTGAATTTTTGCATTTCGATAAAATTTCTAATTTTATTACTTATTCTGTATACATTAATTCTATTTAGTGATTCGGGCGAAACTAATTTTAAAAATCCGAAATACGAACATTTCATTTTCGCCTCATAATTTCGGAATCCAAATTTTGAACAATTCTAACAGCATTATATGAAAAAAAATTTTTCTCAAAAATCAAAATTCCTTTTACAGAATTACATTTCTCTTCCATGTTTGTCCCACATGACACAAATTAATTGGTTCTGCATGATTGATTTACTACGCCTTTCGTCGTCCACTCTCCCTTTTCATGAAAATGAAGGCAACGTTCACAACAAAACTTCCAAAAAATCGTATTACAACTAAAAAAAACCGTTCAAAATCTCATATATTCTCATCAAAGTATTTAATAACATTTCGAAATACATTCTATCAAGTGTTATGTGATCATGACCCAAATTTAATTTTAGAAGAAAAGCAAGAATTTTTAGAATATTTAATTGAAAAGATTTGGGAATTAAATTTGTTACAGCAATTCATCCCTTCAGCTCAAGTTAAAGATGACGAATATTTTACTTTACTAAACGAACAACAAGTTATTAATAAAATTACCGAAATGATTGAAAATGACTTTATTACTTTTGAATTTTGTAAGGATGATCATGAATGTTTAGAAATTTCGACTTCAATCTTGTCAAAATGGAAATCCTCTATAAATCCAAATTCATCAATTTCTTTTGTAGGCAATAACAATGAATCTACGGATGAGGAGGGGGAGGAGGGGGAGGAAGAAGAAGAAGAAATTGCTCACGAGCCAGGTACATGTTTGATGTGTCATCGTCACATGCCTTTGACATTTCATCATTTAGTTCCAAAAATGATGCATAAACGTGTTATTAAAAAAAAGTTGTATACAAAAGATCAATGTAATGCGAGAGGTATATATATTTGTAGACCTTGTCATTCTGCTTGCCATAAAATGATTTCTCATGAACAAATGGCTTATGAGTATAACACTTTAGACAAACTATTAGAGCATGAAGAAGTATCTAAATTTGTTAATTGGGCTTCCAAGCAAAGAAGTTATGCCAAAGATCATGTTATTCAGAAACTAAGATACTCAAAGTAGTAAAATGATTTTAGTTTATTTAATACATAATTTTATATTAATATTATATCTATATTATTTAAAATTGAACTTTGATAAATATGATAATTATTATTACAAATGAATTGGTTATAAATTAATGAATTAATGGATATAAATGATATTGTACAAATCAACTATTACCTCTCATTTCTATATTTAATTTCTTTCAATTAAATTATTATATTATTCAAACTATAACCTCTTCTTCCAATAAATCTGACCTTATCCTTCTACTACATTCAACCACTTCCCACTCCCAATTAGTTGTTATTACGACAGCAAATATACTAAATCCCATAAGAATTGATGCCAAAGTAACACCAGACCATAGTCCGATCAATCCAAGATTAAATTTAAATGCTAATAAAAGTCCAATTGGTAATGCAAATATATAATATGCAGATAAATAAATGATTGATATAATCTTCTGCTTTCCTTTTAAACAAAAAAAAAAAATTTTTTGATTAGAAAAATATTTATCTCGATTTTTTTTTTTTTTTTAAAAAAAAAAAAGCCTTGAAAAAAACCTATTCCTCTTAGTATTCCTCCGCCTATGGCACCGATTCCATCTGATAGCTTTATTATTCAAAACAAAAAGTAAAAACAAAATTTTATTTATATCTTGTTGTTAATCAATTGTAGTCATCTATCAATCAATCAATCAATCAATACATACCTGAAATAGGACACATAATGGCAAAACCGAAGCTGTTAACTTTACAACTTCCTCATCGTTTGTAAATAAGTACCTTATTAAAAAAAAAATAATTATTATTAATTGATATAAAAGAAGAGAGTAAGTAATAATGCAACACCAATGTCACCTTATGACGATCGATATAAAGATATCCCCTTCTTAAACATTTACCCCCATGAATCCCTGAAAATAAATATTCCCATCGAGGTGCATATAGCACTCATGAGCGCGAGAATCAAAGAAGTTTCGGCAGTAATTTTGGCTTTCTTAGCAAGACCTGCTCCCAGGAAATTACCAACTCTATTTGAGGTTGCCAATGATACACTTCTTGGTAATTGAAAGAACAAAAGTGCAATGGTAAGAACTAAACGATGAGCTGCTAATGGTACATTTCCGATATATCCTGATGCAAGAGCGATCAGTTCATAAATCCACCAATCCGCGCAAGATGTTAAAATTCCAGGAATTGCTAATCTCATGAAAGATGACCAGTCATAAAGGCATGCACGAGTCCAACCGCCCCAAGCTTGATGTCCGTCAATATATTTAATGTAAAGGATACTAAGGATTAGCATCAGCCAATTAGAAATATTTGTCGCTATGGGTGCACCGATAAACCCAAGAGCTATTTTATCCCACCAAATAAGAGCGTAATTTAAAAGAATGTTTAATGGGCTAACAATTATAAGAACAAAAGATGTGGCTTGCATGATGCCTTTTTTTTCGAGAGAGTAAGAATTAGTGTTGTGATGAATTGCTAATGTGGTGAATAAGGATCAATTTAAATGATTCAAACCTTGGGCTTGTAAAAATTTTTCAACGCACCAAAAGATGAAAATGGGTGGAGCACCCAAAATTGACCAACGCAAGTACACTTGCGCATAAGCGGACAATTCTTCATTTTGACCTAAATAAACCAGTATTGCTCCGGATTCCCACCAGACCAAACTAATTGGGATAAACCCAAGAAGAATAATAATGATAGCGCGTTGTAAATACACGCCAACCATTTTTGGGTTCCCAGAAGTGTAGCCCTGTGGACATAAGGTGTCTAAAGCAGTGGTTGCACCATAAAATATGGATATACCAGATACTGAAGCGTACTGAAAAAAAAAAAAGCAAATCAGTTCCTAATCTATTAAAATATGTACAAACAAACAGAAAATCCAAATTTACTAAAAAAAAAAAAAAATTCTTACCATAGAGCCTAACGCCAAAGCAGCCAACTCTACAGGTCCCTAATAAGTAAATATTTGATAAATTATAAGATAGATTGATTATAAAAACTCGAACACAAAAATCATCGATCGATATCTGACCCAAAAAAACTTACAATGTGACCCAACGTAAGTACACTAATAATTGTAAAAGTGTACTGTAAAAACGTAGCCAACCAAATTGGAAAAGATTTTTGAAGAATATAAAATGCTTCGTTTAGGTTAAATGGAAGTCTAGGTTCATTTAACGAGACATGAGAAGCAATAACATTATCAATGTTGGGTAACAATGCCGTCGTTTCATTTGGAATATGAGCAAGACCCTGCGTTTGTTCGTTTGAGGTTGTCAAAGACGACATATTATTTGTTGTTGTATACAATGCGACAAACTAAGTCTTATTGTCTGTCGAGTAAAGCGCAAGTCTTGCTCGTTCTGGTAGGAACCAACATTTAAAGAAACAATTATTCCGATCGACCACATTATAAGGATTGCATAATACAACCATCATTTTATTATATAAAAGTTACATAACTTACACAACTTACACAATCATTGAATGACATCACAATTTATAATCACATGAATAAGCATCATGACCAAATTTGAGTTGATTTTGTTCTAATTTGTTTCACATGAAATCCAAGATGGGAAAAGGCTGAGTTATGTCCATCTTGGGGGGGATTTTTTTTATAATGTTTATAATGTTTGCAGAAAAAGTGTCAAAATATTTTGCTTGGTTTTAACCTGTTTTCATTCCGCAGCATTAAAAACAATTAAGCCAATTTCAATTTTTTTTTGGAAGGAAAAAAAAAAAAAAAAAATAATACTTTTCTGAGTTTGTTCCGACTTCAAACACATCATTGTCGATAGCGGAAAATATCTATATTTCATTATCATCAGACCATTTTTTTTTTTTAATCAGATGTTCATTATTGAACATTGATCAAATTTTTTTTTTTTTCACATCTATAATAGTTTTCCATTGTATTCATTTCAAAATTCAAATCCAAGGAAGATAAAAAACGTTTTCACTTTTTTAAACGGGAATTTCTTATTAGCTTCAACTATAAAGTGAGAATAGTTTTTCAAACAGTTTTATTGAAGTCGAGTTTGCACGTGGTACGTACCTTTTTTTATTATTATTATTTTTTTTTTTTAATGTAAAAAAATTTTCCGATAATTTAATACTATCCTTTTTGCTGGCCGCTTGTGTTATAAGCCCATCGAATACGTCATCCGTAATGACCGATCAACATTTCAAAGGAACGGTCGATAAGAATATAAATAATTATCAACTTACTTCTGTAATTCGTAGAGAATCAAGAGAAGTACCTTTCTCTCCTTTTTTACCACCTGAAACTTTAGGTGAAATTTTTTCATATGTTGGAGATGATATAAAATCATTACATTCATGTCTTCTTGTTAATAAAATGTGGTGTGAGAGTGCTGCCCTGATTTTATGGAGGCAGCCATTTGATATTTCTTCAATAATGGCATCTGCCGACCTTGTCGACGTGTATTTCTTGTTTTTTTCAGATGATATTAAAAACTTTTTGTTAACATCAGTTCCAAATGGATTATCACATTTACTTTCTAATAGACCATCTTTGAATTATTTATCCTATTTAAGATATGTAGATTTCAAGAAGGTTTATAAGGCTGTTAGGATGTGGTTGAGGTGTAAAACTTTATTCGAACCTTTAAGTTTAGAATTCAAAAAGAAACAGATAGCTTTAGCAAATAGAATAGTTACCGAATTGGGGAAAATCTTTACAACGGGATATGCGAGGTTAGATCGACTATCACTTTGCGTTGACAGTAAATATTTCGAGTATAATCCCATAGATAGTGAAGAGGATTGTTTATCTTGGCCATGTTATCCTGGAGCTTGCAGCGCATTGTCAGAGCTTCGAGAGTTCTTATGTGGGGGACAATTCGTAAAGGACAAAATCTTACATACGATGGCTGGAATATGTAAAGACATTGAAGTACTTACCATTCACGAATCCGCTGATACATCACCTAAAATGTTGGCAGAATTTATCAACGCTCAAAGAAGGTTATTAAAATTTACACTTACAAGTTGGTCGGGGGAGACTCTCGAGATTTTATCTTCCTTAAGAAGGCAAGCAAGAACTTTAAGACACATGGAACTGATTAGGTGTACATTTCCTAAAAATGAAGATTATACAAAATTATTTTGTGGTTTAGCGGAATGTCGTAATTTAAAAACATTAAAACTTTCACAATGTCAAAATTTAAGTACGAAAATCATGAAACCATTAGCGAAAGCGAGTTTTGAACAATTACAAACCTTTATAATTGATAATGAAGCAGTTCCAGATCCTCCAACCTTAGAAATTAAGAATATTATTCAAAATTCCAAAGATTCGCTTATAGAAATAGGGTTATGTGTGAATTTGTCATTATACGTTGATATCATGGAAACCATTGGATCATGTTGTCCAAATTTACTTAAATTAAGTGTTACAATCGAAAGAGATTATGAAATACAACAATTAATCACATTATTTAAATCTTGCACAAAGCTTGTTGAATTAAGAATACCAAGAAAATGGAAATTGTTTGAAGTAAAAAGATCTTTAATTGAATTGGGAAATGTTTTACCATTCACATTACAAAGCTTAGAATTAGACGGGTTAAGATTCAGTCATGAGACATGGGAAGAATTTTTGAAAATATGTCCCAAATCTATAGATCATTTTACATTCAATTGTTTTAATAAGTCAATATTTGTTAGTACTTTACAGAAATATGGAGAGGAATGTGGTAAATGCGTGAAAAATGAGGAAGTACTTGGTCAATTTTATTTACCAATGCAAGTATCTGTAGAGTTGCGTTGAAGGTTAGTTATTAATTGAACGTATGAATAAATAATTTAATTCATCAACTAATATTAAAAATTCTATTGACTCTTAGATTTGCAAAAAAAAAAAAAAAAAAAAAAATTATTTAAAAAAAAAATTCCATTTATTTAACACTTTTTTTTTAATTATTATAGACTTCCTTTTTTTTTTTAAAAAAAAAAAAAACATTTATTTAACACTTTTATTAATTATTATAGACTTCCTTTTTTTTTTTTTTAAAAAAAAAAAAAATTACATTTACAAAATTTAAAAATTAAGTTTCCTTATACAAAATATAAAAACGAATAACGTTTAGATTCATTCTTTTTAATGTTTAAACAAAAAAAAAAATTGTACACGATGATGTATTTTATTTTAACAAAATTAATTTTTGGAATTCCTTGTCAATTTTTTTTTTTATTTATTTTTTATTATTATTAATAGCATATATATAGTATTTATTAAAATAAAAGGTTATAGAGTTGATAAACAAAGATCTTCAAATACAGGATCTGATTCTCGATATTCCGCGATCGAAAAGTTTAAATTCGATCCTTTTTCTCAGCACTCCAGTATGTACATAACTTTCTTGTTAATTCATAATTTCAAAAATCACTTCTTGACTAAATGAATTATTTTTATCATGCAATAGAATAAAAAAGCGTTAATAAAAATAGCCTTATGAAAAATGGAATGTTCAGAAAATCACTTTTGGAGCGTTTAACTGGACGCGTTATAAGATTGTGAATTTTTTTTTTTTACTTCAAAACGACCATATATGGTTTTTTTCATTGCTACTAATTCAACTTGTTGGACAAAAAGTATATTTCAAAAGGTCTTATTTCTTTTCTATATAATTTTTTCTGATTAGGCAACCTTTATTTAGTCAATTTAATTGAAAGTGATTCTTTCTTAGTTCTTTAGTTTATGTTAACGTATGTCCATTATCAAACCTCTAATGAGGAATGTAAAACGACCGATTTAAGTGCATCATTCTTGGAGATACCTTTTTTTTTTTCCAGATTTAACATTAACTCCAAAAATTTTTTTTTTTTGAAGTTTCCTCCCTTTCTACTCATATGATAAGTTAAAAATTTACAAATTATTAATGTAATTAAGGAAAAAATATTAAAATTTAAAATTACATTTGATTTCGTTATGCTTATTATTTTCTGGTTTTTATATCATCTCAAATAACCTAAACTTCGTGTTTACAACATAAATTATTGAACACAGTTCCAAGTGCTCCGAAATCGACGCGCCAGGTCGCATGATAGACCTAATAATCGATCATATTTGTATTTCCCATCACGAAATGGCCTGCATCACGGCATTAATTATGGCGCACACGTGACGTAAAATTTCCAAGTTGTCAGAATACGGTGACTAGGGTTGGGAAAAGTCCTAATTGATCCTTGAATAATTTTAAAATTATTTAATTTTTAAAGATGATTTTTTTTTTTAAATAATTTTTTTATAATTTTTTTTTTTTTAATTAAAATTACATTAAAATAAATTGAAATTTTCTTTAAAAATATTAGATTAGGACATAAGTCCTAAGATCAGGTCCTGAAATTAAATAAATTTCTAATTTTTACTGTAAAAAAATCTAATTAATAATAATATATAAATAAAAATTCTTTTTAAATCTTTTAAGACAATTAAGACCTATTAGGACTTTACCAACCCTAGTCTTTGACAAACACGTTAGTGTTGAACCACCTGTCTATATTGGTGCATCAAATCTTTGAAAGGAATTCGATACTTGGCAAAATCTTTGGTTTAATACATATTCTTTAACCGCTATAGATATTAAAAACGGAATCTTTAAAAAATTTGCGTTGCAAATGGTTGTGGAAAAGCAGGTTACAGAAACATGAAGCCGTCACGTTATGTATGATACTTTTAAATTTTATGTGTTCATTCTCAAGATCGTCTATTTATCAGCGCGTTTTGCCATATTCTCGAGTAAAGATTTAATGATAAATAAATAAATAAATACAGTGTTACAAAACGCGATTTGTTTTTTTTTGAAAAATAATAAATCAAAAATTTTTTTTTTTTTCAGTTAAAATATTTCATATAAATGATAATGTTTTATATATAAAGATTTAAAATTTTGGTCTATCCATAAGATGTTCGGGATCTTTTCCATATTTCGCAATATATTTATCATGTTCACGAATTTTGTGTTTATATAATGAAATCAATTCATGTGCTCTGATTGATAATATTGGATGAAACTTGGATGCATCATGAATAGCTGCTATCGCGACATCAAATCTGCTGGCTCCGTTAGTAGTTAACATCTAAATCAAAAGAAACGTTAGGAGAAAAAAGGTTCAGTCAAGACAAGGTCATTCATAGATACTTACTCTGAAAGGAGTTGTAGTAGTGCCTTCTTCTTGATACCCCAACTGTAAATAAAAAGAAAATCATTAATGAAATTGAAACAAAAATTGAACAAATTGAAACAAATTTATGCCTACATACCACTTTTACGCGTTGTGGATTAGGTCGGTCAAATAAAAATGCTTTAATTACACTTGGGTATCCATGAAAATTAAATATAACTGGCTTGTCCTTGGTAAATAAACTATCAAAAGCGTCATTATCCAGGGAATGTGGATGGGTTCCATATCCCGGTAAAATCATTAAATCTGTCACGTTGACAACTCGAACACGTAATTCTGGGGCATCTTGTTTTAATAAACTTGCGGCTGCAATAACTTCAAATGTGACTTCTGCACCACATCCAACCAATACTACATCAGGATCAATGCCATCTTCTGTTGAAGCAAATTTCCAAACTGACGCTCCTGCTACGCAATGCCTTTCTGCCTCTTCAGGTGAAAGCCAAACCGGTGTTGGATTCTTACTTCCAATCATCAAATTAATATAATTTTCGGCTCTTAAACAGTGAGCTATTGTACTTAGGAAACAATTTGCATCTGCCGGCAAATAAATTCGAACATATGCATCTATTCCCCCCAAAAAATTTTGTATTAGAAATTTTCAAACTTGAATAAATTGTGAAAATTAAAGATAATTAATTACATTTCATATTGATAAGGTTGTTGAGAAATGATGGATTTTGGTGAGAAAATCCGTTGTGCTCTTGTCGCCAAAGGGTTGAAGTTTCAATATAATTCAAAGATCCAATTGGTAGTCGCCAAGCAGTCTCCATACCGATCTTAATGAATTTTGCATATTGAATCATCATTGTAGTTATAATTCCCAAAAATGTTTCATAAGATGGAAACAATCCGACGCGTCCTATAAAAAGGATTAAGCTAAATCTTGTAATATAAAAATATAGCAGCAATTAATAAAAATCCCAAACCCGTTAAAGTGTATCCTTGCATCCATCCTTGACATGTATGCTCGGACAGAATTTCAGTTACACGACCTCCTTTATTGCTGGTCTGAGAAGACCATTGAAAGTCTCGATTGGTGACTTGGAATACGGCATCCAATTTATTTGAAACGAGTTCTGCATATTACAAATGACGTGTTACGAAATATAATAAATTTTTTAAAAAAAAATATATTTATAAATACCGTCTGGCGAAAAAATTCTGAACCTCTTTGGATTCCTTTACAAAGGTGAGAGTTCATTAAATATATATTAAACTAAGGAAAATGTGACAAAAACGAACCGACAAACTTACATTTCAATGACTTTAGCACAATAGGAACCAACAGATTTCATGCAACTTTCATTAGAATCTTTTTCCACCGTGAATGCTTTCCAATCCGGTAAATCTAAAGGTTTATACGCGGCATACGTTTCTTTCCTAATGCCCATACGCAACTCTTCTTTTGGCAAAGCTTCAAGTACTTCTTTTTTAAATAAACCCTCAGATGAATCAATTAATTCATGAAATTTATAACTCCTTAACCAGGATTCCAATAAATGAAATTCTTCATCATCAGCTCTTACGCGGGGTAAAGGTACTTGATGAGATCTGAATGAACCTTCAATAGGTGTACCATGTAACTCTTTAGGACCCGTCCAACCTTTTGGAGTTCGAAGAACTATCATTGGCCATCTTGGTTTGAAAATTGGATTACCAGTTCTGGCACAGTTTTGAATCCTTCGAATTTCACGATATGCCCATTCCATCGAAACAGCCATTTCCGCATTGATATCGTCCAAGTTTGACACAATGCGAACTTGGTATCCGAACCCACTAAATACGTTCGTAAGAAAAAAAAATTTCAATCAGAATTTGTACATCAAACTTTTTTTCCTCAACGATAAATTTATACGTACGTGAATAATGTGGCGATATCGGTATCGCTATCATTTTTTTTTTAAAAAAAGAAAACATTGTTGGTAACTGAAAGACATATTATATTGTAAAAAACATATATATATTTTATAATGCACGTACTCCATAACGCCATAAATTGTCTCTTCTGAAATCTTGAATCCATTGTCATGCAAGATTGGAATTACAGCACCACTCTCAGCAGGATCAATATATTTATAAGAATGCCAAGCTGCTGCCGTCGGACCCGTTTCAGCTTCTCCATCGCCAACAATGCACGTGACAATCAGATCCGGGTTATCCATAATTGCACCAAAACTAACCGAAAGAGCGTATCCAAGCTCACCACCTTTGGATAATTTTAATTTAAATTAACATTTTTTTTTTTTTTTTTTTAAAAAAAAAAAAGCTTTGCAATGCAAAATTCACCTTCATGAATTTGACCTGGAACTTCGGAATTGACATGACTTGGGAAACCATGTGGCCAACTGAAACTACTAATCAATTTATTTAAACCTTCCTTATCAACACTATATTGGCAGTAAAATTTAGCCAGAGATCCTTCAACAAAAAGATTGGCCAAATTTGCAGGAGCGCCATGTCCTGGACCGGTTACAAGAAACATTGGAATGGAATGTTTCTTGATCAGATGATTACAATGAGCGTAAACAAAATTAATTCCGGGACACGTTCCTAAAAGTTTGATGTAAATTAATTTTTCCCAACGTATCATAAATTTTTTAAAGTTAAAAAACTCGCGCACCCCAATGACCCAATAATCTCTCTTTAATATCTTCTTTGCTCAAAGGTCTCTCTAGCAAAGTATTGTTTTGCAAAAAGATCATTGAAGCGGCTAAATAATTCGTAGCCCGTTGTAATAATTCTAAAGGACGAAAGTCTTCATTTGACCTAATTTCCGTAGTATCTAATTTTACTAATAAATCCGACACTTTTTCGGGAATCTGCATGATTGAACCCGCAGTTGATTTTGTGACTGACGTTTCTTGAGAAGCATCTTTAGGAGACGGGGCTGGTGGCATTTTTTTTTTTTTTTTCCTTCGAGTAAAAGGAATTCGATAAATTTACAATAAATACAATTTTTGACGATCGACAGAGGATAGTAATAACATCATCATTATTATGAAATGGTTATCATTCTAACAAAAATTAGTATAAAACGTTATGTAATGGAACGCCGACCTTTTGGAATTCGTTGGATGGATTAATTTTCACATTCCTTTTATTATCTTAAATAACCCTCTGAGGAACAGTTTAAGTGGTCACCCTCTTAAGAATTACTCGTTACGACACCATGATGCTATTTTGAAGATATATATGCTATATATTTTATATTTATATTATATATATATGGATTGATTGCTAGGAAAATCAGGTTCCGAGAAATTTTTTACTAAAATTAAGAGCCTTAATGCATTTTAATCTAATAACATCATCATTAACTAAAATGCAATAAAAATCTCAATTTTGTTAAAAAAAAAAAAATTCCCGGAACCTGATTTTATTTTTTCCTAGCAATCAACCCAATATTCTGATCCTTAACTTTATCCTAATCAAGGAGAAATTCAAAATACTTTTTCGTTTAAAAATTATTATACATAAAGGGTCTCAAAGGATATACATTTTTATTATTTAACCTTAAAGCTTGAAATCAACTTATCATAATCATACATTTTTACATATATATATATAAAAAAAAAAACGCAACATAGTTGACTTATTTAAGAAAATACGTGATAAAGTTGAAGATAAATTAAAAAGACTTAAAGATTGTCTTTGAAGCATATGTGTAGAGTAGAGCAATAATAGAGTAATGCAAAGCAAAAGCTAATTAATTCTTAAGATACCGCTATTTTTATGATTATTTGTTTTTTTTAAAAAAAAAAAATTTGCCTAATAGGGAAGGGATTATTAAAAATATTGACTTTTTTTTTGTTTTTTTGTTTTTTTTATAGAAAGAAAGAAAAAAATTAAAATTCGGACCAAAAAGATGGATAAGAAATCGTATCATCATCATTAAACGACGAGAATCCTTGAGAATCAAACTCAAATTCATTATAAATATAACCGATATTATCACGTTGAATGACAAGCGAATCGATTGAATTGTTCACGTTTTGTTCTCCGATTATTGATTCTTTGTTAAATTCGGTTGATTGTTGAGGGTTAAATTTGTCTCGAGTGTTTGGAGGATTATTTTGGAGGGGATCGTCAGGTACCGAATCGGAATCAAGAAATCGATCGATTATAGGAGAGACAATATCGAAAGGGATGTCAAAGGTAATCTTTGGACTCTCAAATTCAAATGGAGAAACTGGCGATGTTGGCGAAAGTATTTCAACTTGTTTAATCGGGTTAACCGTCATTTGTTGCTTTTTTTTGATAGTTGATTTTGATTTAACGACAATAGGAGCTTTACAAGTAGTAGAAGTGTTCGGAAAAGAAATAATATTCCACTTTTCTCTTTTTCTTCGACGACTTGATTTAGGAATGATCTCATTCCTAATAATATTTGCTTCCTTTGCCAACCTTTTGTACTCTTCTTTCACCACATCTGGTTCCAATTCCCAAGATTGTGAGGCCATTAAAGATACGACAGTCATTGGTAATTGATATCCATCCTTTCTTGCGGTCTCCACGAAAATTTTTCGATATATGATGAAAGCATTCGGGGCACGACCCGAATTATTTTTACTAGGATCTGTGGAAACTTGCTTTGTAATTAATTCTCGCAAATTAATAATTGGAGGGAATTTTGGTTTTATAAACGGATGAGAAATGGTATTCATCATCAATTGATTGCGAACCGTAGGATCACTAGAATCTATAAAGACACAAGCACGTGAATTCTTAAACTTTGATGATGATGATGATGAGGTCATTTTCATAAAATTTGGGAAAAAGAAAATCTTAATTTGAATTTGTGGAAGAAAAAAAAAAAAAAACTGGTTTTTTTTTTTTTTTTTTTTTTTTTTTTTTTTTTATTATAATTGTGCTTGGACTTTTTGCTTATAATGGACTGAAGGTGAAAAAAAGAAATAAGAATTTTGCTGGGTATTTATTCAACACTTTTTTTTTTTTTCTGACGGTTAAATTTTCAAGGGAAATGGAAATGTTAATTAGAAAAAAAAAATAAAAAAGGGATCATCAATCATGGTTTTTTTTTCCTCGAAAGAATTTTTTTATCATATTCGCGTGAAAAAAAATCAACCTTACTATGTATGGAAGGATATTACTTATACAACTGCCCATAAAAGTAGTTTCAGTTTATTTGATTTGTTACCAATTCAAGGAAAAATTGGCGTGATTGTTGAGGAATTCATTTCCACCTATTATTCAAAGATAATTTAAGAATTTTCAATTTGAATTTGCATAAACGAACCGATGACTTCCAATTGTGGTTATTGCTGATTACGTTTCCGTTCAACGATTGGACAAGGCAAAATTTTGATCTTCGAAAAAAAAAAATATATCGTACCATTTTTTTTTTTTCTTTTTTTTCTAAATTAAAAAAAAAAAAATGCAAGTTTTGATGCTGAAGATGAGGGCGTACCTCATTGAGAAAATCGATAAAATTGAAAATGTTCTGATCGTGATAAAAATCATTATGTGAAGTCTAGATTTGGAAATGGGCAATGCTAAGATGAAAGGTTTTATATTTATCTTTTTCTTTATTATGAAAATTATGTGTAAACATGTATGGTAACGCTGCACGATGCGCATCCATTTTTCGAAAATAAGGTTTAATTTTTCTATGCAATTGTTAATTAAAACAATCATCTGTCAAATCAATATATGCAAAAGAAAAAGGTCTAGAATCTGGAGGTATTGTTTTTTTTTTTTTTTTTTTGTTAGATTACGCTAGTTTTAATATGGATTTCAGGGATTCGAATTAAATTTATTGTATCCAAATCGTCATTATTATTATTTTGTTTTTCAAACCAATCTTTTTTATTAAAATAATAAATAAATAAAATAAAACATCTAGATAAATATAAAAAAAAATCACCACTATAATATATAAAAATCCAATAACCAAAAAAAAAATAAAACAGCAAGATAATTTTAAAACCCCGACAATAAAACCAATCAAATCAACAATTAGGAAAAAAAAAAAGGAATTCATTCATTCTTTCAAAGGGCAAAGAGATAGATTTTAGTAAAGAACACAAAAGAACACAATTCACATTTTTGGGCATTAAACTGAACAAAGAAAAAGAGGAACTTGGAAATTTAACCTTTTGGATTCAAGAACAAAAAAAAAAGAACTTGATAAAGGAATAAATCAAATCATTAATTCGTTTCTAATTTAAAAGAAGTATATACATTAAAGGAAATTAACAAAGAAATAAAAATAAAATATAAAGAATAAAAATTTTAAATTAAAAAGGGCAAGGAGAGATTAACAAATACGGATATACGAAATATTTTAAAAACGCGACGGAAATTCGAATAACGACCAGGCAAATAATTACGAAACGAATTTATTAACGTTTGAAAGATTAATATTAATCGTAGATACGTTAATGACGAGTTATAACGTAAATGATAAATAAATTGAAAAAATTTTACGAAATTTTACGATAAAGGGAAGTCGAAATTTAAAATAATAATGGACAACGAAAAATTAAGAAGTAATTAAAGAAAATTAAAGATTACTTTTCTGATACCGAACTTTTTCACTATAATTAATTTTGCCGATTTAGGTACTAATTTATAAGTTTGCTATGAAAAAAAAAAAAAAATTACAAACCGGTCGTTTCATCATTTCGTATACGTCTTTTTTTTCGTATCATAATTCTGTGTTGAATATAAGCCACCAGGATATTTATATTGGGAGTCTTGTTCACGCTTCAATACTATTCATTGAAAAAAATATTCGTGATTAAAAAGCTTTGCGGCATGCTACAAATTGATTTATGATACATACGATTGTTTAACTCATCATCAGATGATAATAATCCGTTGGACAAGGTAGCAAAACAAAAGGTAATAGCTAATGCTATAATAAGAAATAACCCGTATGTATTCATCATATACGGTGAGTACTATTTACAATTTAAAGTTTCAGTGAAAGGGGAGAAAACTTTTAAATTTTCGGATGTGTGAATGCTGCTTTTATAAATCTATAAAAAAGAAATTTTTTTTTTTTTTGATAAATTTCTCGAGATCTCGAACAAGGCTTAGCACCTAGGCTATGTTTTGTATAAAAAAGTGAAAGATTGTTGTATAAAATCAATAATGCAATCGATCATGGATCACTTCCTGGTTGTTTTTCAAGTTTTAAGCATGAAATCATACTAAAAATCTTAATTCTTATCCGTCAATGTGCTTATGTGGCTTTACAATTCTTTTTTTCTTTATCGATTAGAATAATTATGGCATGGATTGATCGCACGAATAATAATGTTTTTAGCATTGGCTGTGTTTGCTTATAAATTGAACGAAATAATCATCAAGTGGCTTAATGTTTATCGATCATTTGTGGGATTAATATTTCCGTATTAGCTTAACGTTGATGATTAAAGGTTGGTATAAATTATTCATGGCTATGGGTGGCTTATAAATGATTCCTCATTCCACCATGCTTTTTCTTCTAAATACGTTAATGTGGCAAAATTTTATAAATAGATTATACTATAGATAAATTTACTAAATATGTACTACCCGTATTTTGTTCGGTTTTTAAAGCGATTTTTGCTATAAGTGGGTAATCAATGGGTGTGACAAATAATATTCCCAATGATAAAAACGTAAATAAATAAGGTACCATCTCATGTGATCAAAGTAATAGCATTTCTTAAAATAATCGGATTATTTTTTTTTTTTTTTTGATTGAAAATCGCGATGCATGCTCTGACAATTAATGTTTCAATGATTTATAAAAATTATTACATTTAAAGATGATAAAAGAAGAACCAGTTAAGGAGTCAGATGAACCAACAAAGAAACAAGAAGGTGGAAAGGGCCCGGCAGAAGATCTAGCAGTATCACCACACCAAAGACGCAAAAGCACCAAATGAAGCATCAATAATGGAGAAGCAGCAAAGGATGGAAAAGTACCAAAGGACATAGTAACAACAAAGGAAGGTAAAGTACCAAAAAGAAGGCAAAGCATCAGAAGAAGGCAAAGCATCCAAGGGATGGCTGACGATCAGGATCAACGGTAAAGTACCAGCAAAAGGAAAATCACAGAAGGGAACTATCCCCTCCCCAATTGATGATCTCAGGGTATAATTATCGAGGCATAAAATCATTTAAGTCCCGAAATAATAATAATAATGGATCAAATGAATTATCGTTTAAAGAAAAGGAATCATTGGACATATTAAAATAACTACAATTAGTTCGACAAGTAACACACCAAATTAAATTACAGGTTATCCTTTTCTAACAGCAAGAATAACCAAGTCAAAAATTTATAAGCCACAAGAGATAATATTATACTAAATGCATTTTTGATTATTATTTAATGAATGAAAATATTTATTCCCTTCCTTATAATATTTCGTAGATTAAATAAATTAATTTAGTTAGACATTTCATAATTTAAGATTTAATCATAAAATACTTTTACGGGTTGCTTGAATTAAGGTTTAACGTTTTATTCGATTAATTGATAGAATAAATATTTTTAGAATTAAATTTTAAAAAATAATTTGTTAGTTTCGGTAACTGCAGGATCCTTTGTGAATGAATGACCATCGTCCATTTTTAAACCAGACAACGAAAACTAATTGTTCAATGTTTTATTTTTTTTTATATCTATCGCTATAATTGTCGATTCTAATATATCATTATTAACACATTGTTCACAAGGGGGAAAAAACAAAATCTACTTTATATATGCTAAGCATCAAAATATTTTTATATAGTACCAAATTACCAAAATTGTCTTATTTTCATTATTTCCAGAAATCGTTCAGGTGAATCCATAAATTTGCCCAAAGCTATAAATTCTGATCAGGAATCATAACGTTGGTAAAACTTTATTAATTTAATAAATCTCATGGTTTTTCCACGGATTCTAGAATTCTAATTTTATCACAATATAGAACAATGGAAGTTACCTGCATTAACCGTGTTCAAAAATCATTGGATGATTGAAGAGTTGATTCTCTAAATTATTGACAACGCATACATTATCTCCAAAATTTTTCTCGATAAAAACTTTAGAAACATCTAAAAACTGGTTATTATACTTGCATACTTTGTTTTCTTTCCTAAAAGATAAAAGAAAGAAATTTCTTTGAATTCTTTTTAACATGCACCAAATGATGATCAAGCCAATTTGAGACTAGCCTGTAAAGATAAAATTTTTTAAAACCGGAATCAATCCCGTTTTATTTATGATTTTTTGAAAGAACTAATTACATGCTGAGTTTAATTCGATTCGATTATGTATAATAATCATGATAAATCTTGTTAACCTTAAATAGGAGAAATGTCAAGAGGAAGGCTCGCATGAACCAATCCTTCTTATCAGGTCTTGAACCCGATTCGCGACGAGATGTCATAGCGTAACGGAACACAACGTAAAAAAATCAATTCTCTTTTAGAGACAATAGTCTTTTCCTCTGAACCTATCATTTCAACTTCATTCATTCCTTTCAAATTTGCGTTGTTTTTTTTTTGTAGGCATATCGGTCATATTCGGATGTATAAAACCCAAATTGGTTCAATTCTAATTAAGATTGTTTCCCCCGCAGTATCAAGTATGCAACATGATGTGCAAATGAGAGTGACAAAATTTTTGTGATATCAAAGTTGTTTAAATACTAAAAACTTAACCCGAGAAAAATCTCTGTATCACAAATAAACGCCCAACGATTTCTCTCTTACAACTTATTTTTTTCACATTCAATTATTTTTTCGAAAAAAAAAAATTTTTTTTTCTAACCAGAGACAACCACTTTTAGTCTTTCGCTCTACACTCTATATCTTTTTGAATGTGAAAGTTTACATTCGAATAAATAACTAAATCAGCAAAAGAAAAAAAGACGAAAAAAAAATAATTACCCCTCATTTATTTCTATCCAACCTTCAGCCGAACCAAACTTTAATACACATAAAAACGAAAAACCTTTAAAATTTGTTTATGATCAAATCTATCAAATCTAAACAAATTGTCTCTGGACCTTTTTTTTTTATTTTTTTGCGATAAACGATAATTCAAAATTTTATAGCTTATTCGCAAAAGTCTTGTTGTGACACATCCATTAACTTGATCAAATACCGTTCCGTTACATAAAAACAATCCACGAGCGAACCTTTGATTGTTAAGAATTTACAACGCGAATCGTAATATAAACCTTCGAATTCCGTGCCATCCCTTTCCCATTCATTTTGTATATTCTTATCCCATTATCATTCGTCCTTTCATTACATTATTTTTAAAAAATATTTTTTTGAACATTGAAATAAAAACGAATTCCGACGATTTCAAATTCATCTTACAATTTTCGTGTCACATCAACTTTTTTCCTGGGCGTTTAACTTTTCAGGTTTTTGAAATCGGTAAGTCTTGGTATAACTTTAATTTCTAAACCTTAGGAACCAATCCCATAACTCACGTTATTTTTTTCCCCCCAAATTTCATCGTAAATAGTAAGATGAGTCCCAAACTACCACCCAAAATTCTTGAAATAGTTTTTCGAGAGATTCATGGTTATCGTGGATATTATCCAAACCATCATCTGAATGATTTACATTCCTGTTTATTAGTTAACAAAGAATGGTGCGAAAGTACCGTACCCGTCTTATGGTCATCAGTATTTTATCCAATTCAAACAATTAGAATAGACGCAATTACAACCTATTTATCATGTCTTAGTTCAGAAAAACGACAACTATTACAAAGGCAAGCGGAAGTCAACATACCCTTACCCAAAAAGTATAAGAAACCAAAATTTGAGTATGCGTCATATTTGTTGGAATTAAATTTTGACAAATTCCTTAAAACAATATTTTCATGGTGTAAAAAGTATCGTAAACCTTATCGAATTGCAAGAAGGAATGAACTCATAATTCGATGTTTATTAGAATTATTCTCTTCACAAGGTGCAAATATAAAATACTTTGCAATGAACAATGTACCAAATTACCTTTTATATGATGATTATTTTAATGATTTGAAGTCGATTGATTTCAATTTTTTGGCTGATTCACATTTAAGGAATTGTTTATCTAGTGTAACCGAATTAAGGTTAGAATGGGATGCTTTAGCGTTAGATGGATTTTTACCCGCTCTTGAACAGACCTGTCGCTCTTTGGTAAGAGAAAAAAAAAATTCATTCTTATAATATACACATATATATCTCTAACCTTTTATTACTTTAATTATAGAAAATAATACATACAGACTTTGCACATAATCCAGCATCTGCCAGTTTATTTATAAATAGACAGCAAGCAAGAGACTTGGCAACCTTAGTGTCAGCACAATCAAATCTACAAAAATTCATTTTACAGAATCATCGATATTACACACATTTCTTTATTGAATCTTTACGCACACAAAAGTGTTCTTTAAAAGAAATAGAATTCCATTCGGTAGATTTTCTTGGATGTTTCCCATTTCAAGCGCTTACAAGTTGTTCTTTTCTAACACATATATCAATTGAAGATTGTCTGAATCTTAATCCAGATATGGTCACGCCTTTATTTTATGCATCATTCCCCGACCTTCAACATGTACATGTATATAATAATGATCCTCCTTGTGAAGAATTAATTGAATGGGCCGATAAAAAAAATTCTAAAAGAGAATGGTGGCAAATTAAACTTACTATTGAAAATATTCGGAGATCTATTCGCTATTTTATTATGTTCGTGATTGCTTATTGGTATTTAATACCTTTTTTGAATTTGGTTTATAGAATAGGTTGGAAATTATCGAATTGGTTATTAGAAACTCTCTAGAAAATATCTCGTTTGATGTTTATGGATTTTATTAATTTGGGAAATAATTGGCGTGGGGAACCACAATCATATAATAAAAAAAAAAGTGTCAATTTCAAAAAAAAAAAAAAAAAAGCTAATAAACGTCATGGCATACATTAAATCGATAAACAGAATCGAAATTTCTTCTTTCCAAAAAAAAGGGTTCATTGCATTTCATAATTTAAATTTTTGTATTGCGTACATACATTAAATTGTGATTTTTTTTTGCCTGGAGATGTTTTGAATATTATTTATTGGAATTCAGTTAGAAAACCTTCTTTTTCATTACGCAACTCACTTTTTAAACAATAACTTTACTAGATTCGGGTATCAAACGACTTGAATCACTAATATATTAATAATGTTAAAGATTGTTTGTTCAGAACTGATTTTCTAATCGGTAACACAAAAAAGATTCGATTGTTCATTACGGATCATATGATTATGGCAATTATTTATAAATTCATTACATGTGAGATTCATTTTTTTTTTTTTGCCCCCTTTTTTTTTTTTTGCTTTTTTTTTTTTTTTTTTCCTTTTTTTTTTTGTTCTTTTTTTTTTTTTTTCTTTTTTATTTCTTTTCTTTTTTTTTTTTTTTTAAAAAAAAAAAGAAATTCTTAAACTTTTTTAAGCTCAATGACTTAATTTCCTTTGGAAAGAAAAAAAAATCAAAACTTTTCTATGCCTCGCATGTTCTTTTTAAAAGAACACAAGGATATTAAAATATGATATATACAAAATCAGATAAAAAGACGCATATAGGCATACGCGTCCTTTTTTTTTTTTTTTGATAATATAAAAATTATTATTAAAAAAATAAATTCTTAAGTGAATTCATTATTATTTTAATGAATTTAATGAATTCAAAATTCAAATGGTTATTTGATCTTTATGTAAAAGATCAAATAACCATTTGATCAACAATATATAGTTGTTGTTTTTTATGTAATAATTGTAGGAAAAGGTGAACTTTCATTTTATAGAATTAAGTTTTTGCATTATCAAGAAAATTTAAAAAATTAAATGTAATTTTCTTTTTTTTAAAAAAAAAAAAATGTATAGGAGCTTTGTCATCGTTGTCGTGGATCACTCCCTTCCACAATTTAAAGTCCCAAATTTTATGCTTGTTAC